ATGGATCCAGCTATGGGGATAGATCCAAATGCAATGAGGAACTCCAGGTGTCTCACTCACTCAGTAAACACTGCTCAGGGCTGGAGCCAGGCTCAGGGATGGATCCAGCTATAGGGAGATGAATTGAGGTGCAGGGATGGACTCAGCCATTGGAATGGACCCAGCCATGAGGATGGATCCAGGCTCAGAGATGGATTCAGCTATAGGGGGATGGATCCAGATTCAGGGATGGATTCAGGCTTGGGGATGGATCCAGGCTCAGGGATGGACCCAGATATGGGTTGAATCCAACCATGGGGATGGATCCAGCCATGGGCGTGCAGATGAGGGGGGAGGGATAAAGTGAGGGGGATGGATCCAGCCACAGGGATGGATCAAGTCATGGAGATGGATCCAGCCCCAGGGATGGATCCAAGCTCAGGGATGGATCCAGCCACAGGTGGATGGATCAAGTCATGGGGATGGATCCAGCCATGGGATGGATCCAGCTATGAGGATGGACCTGTCTGCTCTGGGTTCTGCCATCAGCTCCACCACCTTCCCCTTCATGGATGCTGCATCCCCTCTGCCAAGCATGGGCTGAAAAGTGGGGTTTTTTTTCCACCAGCTCCAGCCTGGCAGAGCTCAGGATGGATCTGTGCTCAAGGAGTTCTATCAACACAGATGGAGGGAACAGGAGACACCAGGGATGGCACAGAGCCCCAGGGAGCCAAATCCTGGGAAGGAATCCTCCACCTCTCATGGTCTCAGTGCTGTTGAGTGAGCACAGGGCAGTGCCAGGGCAGTGCCAGGGCAGTGCCAGGGGTGGGGACGTGTTTGCAGGGCTGTGTCACCGTGGGGATCTCTGCTCACCGCGCCAAGCCGGCGATTAAATATTTACCTTCCACCCTCTCGTGTTTGCCACTGCTGGCTCTGCGTTTCCAGGGAGGAGCTGCCTTTTGTTCCAGCACCTCCCCAGTGCCCCCAGGGACACTGAGCCACCAGCCACGCCAGTCCCTGGGGACATTGGCATCTCCCGTGACACCAGCCAAGCCAAGAGGCACTTCCAAGGCTCATGTTTAGGGTGGAACAAACCAGGTTTAATCGCTGGAAAGGGAAGGAAGAGGCTGAAAAAATGTGCTGGGCAGGATGCTGGAGGTGTGGGGAGTCACAGCACTCACTGGGGCTCAAAGGGTGGAGTATAAATGCAGCATTTGGAGTGATCACAGAGCAGAAATGTGACTTTTTGCCCCCAGAAATGTGATTTTTCTACCCCAGAAATGTGACTTTTTTCCCCCAGAAATGTGACCTTTTTGCCCCAGAAATGTGATTTTCTACGCCAGAAATGTGACCTTTTTCCCCTAGAAATGCGATTTTCTACCCCAGAGATGTGACTTTTTTCCCCCAGAAATGTGATTTTCTGCTCCAGAAATGCAACATTTTTCCCCTAGAAATGTGATTTTTCTATCCCAGAAATGTGCCTGTTTCCACCCCAGAAATGCAACACTTTTGCCCCAGAAATGTGATTTCTCTTCCCCCAGAAATGTGACTTTCTGCCCCACAAATGCAGATGGTTTTGCCCCAGAAATGCAACTTTTTCCCCTAGAAATGTGACTTTTTTTCCCCCCAAAATGCACCTTTCTGCCCCAAAATGTGTCTTTGAGCCCCTGAAAGGTGTGTGAGTGCCCCTGGGAGAGTCTTGTAGTAAAAAGTGAGCTACAAAAAGTTTTAAAAAGTGTCCTGACCCCAAATAAATAAAGCACTGGCTCATGCCCATGCTGTGCTGGTGCCTCGTGCTGGGACTGTCACCCTTTGCCCATCTGACCATGGAGCTGCTGTTCCATGAGGAACCACCTGGAGATGTGCTGGAATGCTGGAATGCCAAGGAACACCCTCCTGGTGCCCCGTGGGGTGTGATGTCCCCAGGGCTGGGCTGGGGCAGGAGCACAGTGTCCCCAAGTCCTGTCTGGAGAGGACAAGGACCTTCCCCAGCTGCTGGTGGGAGCAGGGAGAGGGCAAGGAGTGCCCAGCAGGATGTACCCACGGGGACATGGTTTGGGTCCCTCCCCATCTCTGTGCTCCTCACTGCCCCCAACACTCGCTGGGCAGTGCCCAGTCCCTGTGGCAGTGAGGGGACCACCAACTGGTACTGCTATGTGCCCAGGGACAGGAATGTGACGTTGCCCTCCGTGTCCAGGTACAGCCCTTGGCTGTCCTCAGGGCCTGGCATGGAGCAGCCACCACCACCAGCATCCTTGGGCAGTGTCCCCTCCAGTGCCCGACGGTTGTCCACGTGGCTGGGGCGAGGGACAGGCGAGTCCCTGTTCCTGGGGACAGGTGACAGGAGCTTGGTGTCTGCTGACTCCGACTCATCCGTGCCTGGAGTCTTGGAGCCACTGTTGTCCTCCTCCAAGGGGCTCTCAGCTCCCTCCAGCTCCGTGTCCGACTCTCCATCCTCTTCCTCCTCCTCCTCCTCCTCCTCCAGCGTCAGCTCAAACTGGAACTTGTCGGTGTTGGCAGGGGATGCTGCAGGTCCCTCAGGTGGAGGGGATGGGCTGCGTGGGATCATACTCTGGTACCACTCCCTGTTGTCCTCCAGCGTGTCCAGGAGCTCCTGAGCATCAGGATGCACCAGGTCTGCCCACGTCTCCCACAGCGGGTGAGCGATGAAGTCGATGAAGCCAACCTGGAGGAAGGCAGAGCTGAGCACCCAGCCCAGCTCTGCATCCCTTAACCTGTCCCTCCAGGCCACCACCTCACCTGGGACTTCTCCACGGAGGCAGTGTGCTTGTCACACATGGGGCTGATCTCCATGCCCTTCTCCCGTTCCCGGTCTCCTTGGTGGAAGAACTCCACCATGATGCGGTCGGTCCACTGCCGGTACAGCTCCAGCGGCTTCGTGGGGTTGCTGAGGTCAGCACAGTGCACCATGTTCTGCAGGACCTGCACACACAGCCACGGTGTCCTTTGTCCCCCAAGAACCCTCTTGGCCATGACCAGTTGGGGTTGGGAGGGTACACATAGCCACTATGTCCTTTGTCCCCCAGGAACCCTCTTGGCCATGGCCAGTTGGGGTTGGGAGGGTGGTACACACAGCCACGGTGTCCTTTGTCCCCCAAGAACCCTCTTGGCCATGACCAGTTGGGGTTGGGAGGGTACACATAGCCACTATGTCCTTTGTCCCCCAGGAACCCTCTTGGCCATGGCCAGTTGGGGTTGGGGGGGTGGTACACACAGTCACTATGTCCTTTGCCCCTAGGAACCCTCTTGGCCATGGCCAGTTGGGGTTGGGGGGGTGGTACACACAGTCACTATGTCCTTTGCCCCTAGGAACCCTCTTGGCCATGGCCAGTTGGGGTTGGGGGGGTGGTACACACAGTCACTATGTCCTTTGCCCCCAGGAACCCTCTTGGCCATGGCCAGTTGGGGTTGGGAGGGTGGTGGCACCAAACAGGACATCCTGGCAGCACAGAGCCAGGACCAAAGTCTGCAGTGCCAGGAAGAATTCCCAGCTGTGTCCTTGTACCCACCTGGATCCGGTCAGAGTAGTTATCCAGCAGCAGCACCCCTAGACTGGTCACTTTCTTGGTCTCCACCATGGTTTTCAGGTCTGCCAACAGGTTCATGTGCTTGGACATGTCTGTGGCCAACACCTGGGCAGGGCAAGGCAGGAATCAGAAGCTGAGCTCAGCCTGACCCTTCTAGCCCAGACCCCCCCCAGGTGTGGTCCAGACCCCCATACCATGTCGATGACCATCTTGCGGAGCGTCTGCCTCTGCTTCCTGCTCAGGTTCTGGAAGATGTCACAGTTCTCCTCCTGGAGAAGCTTGAAGCCCACGGCCAGGTGATGGTTCTCCAGCACTGAGGCATCGTTGTACATCAGCGCCAGCTCGGAGTCTGTGAGATGGCACTGGTCACCCTGGAGCTCCCCATATCCCCCCAGCTCCATCCCTGCACCCCAGCTCACTGGTGTTGATGAGGAACTGGTTGGAGACACCAGGATGGTCAACATCATGGATGGCACTGGCGAAGATCGCAGCCATGATCTCCAGGTCCGTGAAGACGGCCTAGGAGGGGTGGAAAAAGGGGTGTGTGGATGTGATATGACCCCAGCAGACACACCTGGTGGCCTCAGGTGAGCAGGGCTGACCTCCAGTGCAGGTGTGGAGAGGAGGACATGGGTGGACTGTGCCACGTCGGCCGCGTGGAGGTTGTTGTGGTAGGCCACGTCGGCGTGGTAGTGATCCTCCAGCGTCAGCATGTAGGTGATGAAGGTGTTGACAGGGATGCGGAAGGTCTTCATCAGCTCCCGCTCCTGTGGACAGGGAGGAGGTGGCTCAGCCCCATCCTGGCCCAGGGACGAGGACATCCCGTTGGGATACTCACCTGGAAGATGCTGTACATGATGACCGTCAGCGGGCGGTTCCCCGAGTACTCGGCGACTTTGAACACGTTGAGGCCCCACTTGTTGGTGTCCTCCAGCTCCTGGGGACCAGAGGCACAGAGATCCATGTGGGGCTGGACACCAGGGACCTGTGGTTGGCTGTGCCACCCACCCTGGTGCCCACCTTGGCCAGCAGCCCCTCGTGGTCCGTGCGCACGCCGAAGCGAGGGATGCCGGCGGCGGCGAGGCTGGAGCTGTGCGTGAGCTTCCTGACGCCGCTGATCTGGGACATGGGACGCTTCCTCCTCTCCTTCTCCTTGTCCTTGGCCAGTGCTGAGGGGATCTCCACCTCGTGCTGCTTGTCTGGGGTGGCACAGAGGGTCGTGGGTAGGGTAGGAGACCAAATCCCACAGCCCTGGTATCCCCTCAGGTCATGCTGATGATGTTGTGACAATGTCACTGGGAGTGACCAACACTTTCCCTCCTCACCCTACATGGGCCACCTGCCTGTCACAGAACCCAGACCCTGCCCTGGCCCCAGACCCTGCCCTAGCCACCTCTCCAGAGACACACAGACAGCCCCAGTGCACCAGTATGCCCCAGTATACAGCAACAGTCCTCACCAGGACAAAGGCTGTGCCACCTCCAAGGCAATAAATCCCACCAGGACACCTGGAAAAGCCTCTTCTGCTCCCCCCATTTCATTCCTTTGCACATGGGACCTGCTGCTGGCACTGGGTTTGTACCCAGGTCCCTGTGGGCACTAAGCCCACCCTGAAGCCTGCAGAGAGGTGACCCCAACAGCATCCCCAGGGTGTGGGTTCCTCACCCAGGAAAGTTCTGGAGATGTACTCAGAGACTTGGTTCCCGGAGCGACTCGTCTCCGAGAGATGTGTCAGCTCCCGATTCAGCATCCGCTTGAACTGTGGATGGAGGACAGGACTCAGCAGTGTGGGGGGTCAGCAGGACCCTCATCCTGCCAACCCCTGTTCTTCAGGGGTCCCTGTGCCCCCCAGAGTGAGCAGGATATATCTCCTTACCTTGTTGGATGCCATCTCGCCAACAGAGTGCCTGGTCTGCAGCGTCTCCA